TGTTTGACTTTTGCAGTTATAGGACATACAAGATAACAAACGCTCTCAATATACGTTGAGTGTAATTTTATTATAGTTTATTACTTTCTTAAATTTTATACTCTTTGTACGTATATGTGTGTGTGTGTGTATCACATTTGATCCTAATAGCCACCCTCTGAAGCAGACACAATGGTAATTTCCATTTTTCAGATGATCTCACTAAGGCACAGATCGCTATGGTAACTGGCCCAAGGGGGCAGTCTAGCAAATGGTAGAGCCAGGGACAACTCAGCAGCCTGAGTCTCACATGTTTTCTTTCCCTTAACCACTCGGCTCTACATTCGTAAAATCCTACCTGTCTTTCCAAGCTCAACATGAATGACGCATTTTCATGAAGACATCACTGATTGTCACAGTCACAATTCGCTCTGAATTCTCCCCGCTTTCTTTATAGGTGTGTAAAGCACTGGTTTCATTTTGTGTGATATAATTTTCTGTTGTCTGGCTCTTTCCTGAGTGAGACAGAGTTCTTTGAAAGTGGGGATTTCCTTATTGTTTGAATCACCTTTACTTTTCTGGACCTTAATCAGCTCCTGACACATCACAGATGCTTACTATTTGGTGAGAGATATGTAGGTCCAAACCCTGTGACCTCCTGAATCTTGTAAAAAGGAAAGATCTGCATGTTAAGGTATGGTCACAAAATTGAGGAAGGAAAGCATGGTGGGGTTCCTTTTTGGAACTGGAGTGGTAAAAGCCAAGGTTGAATCACTACATGGTGATAAATAGCAGTGGCCGTGAAGTCAGAGGGGCCGAGTGCTAATTCCAACCTAGGCAGTCTCAACTTGCAGGGCTTAGGAAGTCATTGGCTGGCTCTGAGCCTCAGTTTCCCGTTTTGTAAAATGGGATGCCAGTCTCCACATCAGAAGATTGCTGTGAGGATCTGATGAAATGATGAATGCAGGTCACCTTGGAAAGGTCAGACAGCATGCATCAGGGACTGAATAAATGCTATTCTATGTGTGTTCTGCTTTAGGTATTGATGGGTACTCACAATTTCCTCAGCCTTATCTATCCTTCTGTCTTTCTTCTCTTCTCCTCTCCTCTCCTCTTTTTTTTTTTTTTTTTTTTTTTTGAGACAGAGACTCACTCTGTGCCCTGGGTAGAGTGCCGTGGCATCATTGCTCACAACAACCTCAAACACTTGGGCTTGAGCAGTCCTCCTGCTTCAGGCTTCCAAGTAACTGGGACTACAGGTGCCTATCATAATGCCCAGCTATTTTTTCTATTTTTAGTAGAGACAGGGTCTCGTTCTTGCTCAGGCTGGTCTGGAACTCCTGAACTCAGGCTATCCAGACACCCTGGTCTCCCAGAATGCCAGGGTTGTAGGTATGAGCTACTACACCAGGTCTATCCATCTTTATTTCTTTACCATTCAAGTAGGCTCCTCCCATATCCTCTGTGCACATACACACCATATAATCATACTGGACTCCAAATCCATAACCTCTCTTCTCTTGATTACTTAACTGATTTCACTTTCCTAGAATCATATACTAAGCATTTTTTGTGTCACTGAATTTTTCAAAAGTATCCGTTTTATGCCCCATCTTTATCTTAAGCAGGACCGCCCTGTTAGGTATTTGGACTGATTTTATTATTTCATCATCACAAACAATGCCACACAGAAGCAGCCTTTGGTTTTATTTATTGCATAACCAATAAACAAAAACCTTTACTTACAAATCTGTCTACCCCTCCTAGAGCAGAATTTCAAAGTTAGATTATTAATGGAAATCCCTTACAAGTTATGTTAATTTCCAAGTTAGACGGGGTCTTGGGGAACTATGCATGTAGGCATTCTTTGGTTTCTCCTCAGCGTACTTAGATCCATCCTCCTTTCCTTGTCACTGTTGACCTCTGTCATTTCTTACCTTCTCCTTATAACGGTGCCCTCATGCGATTCAGTCTTCCCAAAGCGGTCAAAGTCATCTTTGCCGAGAGATAAACTAGATAAGGTCACACTCTTACGTAAGATCCTTGGATGGTTTCCAGTTACTCTCTAGAATACCATCCCAACTCTGCACTGTGGCTTGTAGTCGCTGTGTGATCTGGATCTGGCTCCTGCCCTCTTTCCTAACAGCATTTACTC